ATGCCTGAGCCCCTGGCCTCCCGAAGCCAAAGAAACACACCTGGGGGTGGGGGATGGGGGAGCTTGGGAAGGAAACTCAACTGGAAGTGGTTTGAGCCTCAGAGCCCACATCCTGTTGGAGGAGCTGTCAAGGCGCCAGGCTGTCAGGGGCCTGGCCATATGTCAGTCTGTGGCAGTCCTCAGAGCTGCTGGAGTGACAGTTCCCCTAGGGGTAGATATAGTCTTCATACTCCAGGGGAGAAGGTGGACTGGAGACTAGGAAGTGGGGTCAGTCTGGCCAGATCCGAGATCAGGAGGCCTCAGTCGGGCGCCGTCCCCCCTCCTCCTCCATCAGCAGCAGGCGGCGCCGGCCAGCCTCGTAGTCAGCCTCATCCACGCTGACCAGCAGGCGGACAGCCTCCCGGCCCACGGCCTCGCGCAGGGCCTCAGTCAGGAACACGCCCCGCAGGGCCTGCAGCAGGGCGCCACTCAGGTAGTCACCCCAGAAGGCGTCCAGATAGGAGAGCTCTGAAAACTTGATGTCGCACACCACGGAGCCCAGGTCCCGGGAGCGCAGCACTGCGGTGGCCTGCCCAAACACATCCAGCTGCCGTGCCAGCGCCTGGGGCCGCCGGGACGCCACGCCCTGCTCCAAGGCTGGCCCGTGTTCGCAGTACTCTGCTCGCACCCTGAGCCGGATGTCTAAGGGAAAGGAGAAACCGGTCAGCGAGGGGCCAACACCCAACACGCTGCCGCTGCCGAGGGAACCAGGGCAACTGCCACCCTGCCTCCCTCCCTCAAGCCTCCTCCGCAGGCCCCTCCCACTGCCCACCGGGTTGTGCTGCACCTGCCCTACATCCTTCCTCCTTCTGGTAACCACACCCAAGTGCGGGTGACACTGTCACATGGCTTCCCTCCTGTGGTCTGGTCTCTTACCTCCTGACCTGGCACCCTCCTCCTCGTCCAGCCTCACCACCTCTTTGCTGCTCCCTCTGCTGCCTGGCCCTGCCTCTCCCTGAGGCGGTCCCCCGTCTCCACAGGACTTGCTCCCTCACTTCCTTCAGGTCTCTGCTCCAATGCCACCTTCCCAAAGAGGCCTACCCCCACCACCCTGGCCCCAGGATCCCCAGGTGCCGATATCTGCTCCATGTCTCCCAGGGCACCTATCACCTTCTCACCTGCTCCACGCTTTCCTTTCCTGCCATGCTTATCACCTGCCTCCCCACAATGTGAACTTCCTGAACCATGGGATTTGTCTGTTTTGTTCACTTCTATAGCCCTGTGGCACAGAGTAAGTATTTGTTCACTTCTATAGCCCCATGGCACACAGTAGGTACTCAATATATATCTATGAAAGAAGCAATGCATAAATGAACAGACTTGCCTTTAGGCAACCAGCCTCACTCTTCTCCTGCCCTTAAATAGTGAGATTCATGTGGGGCCAACCATATCCCCCGCCCCCTACCCACTAAGCAAACACTAGGCCCAGGCGACTCAAGGCTGGAGGTGGGCTGGCTCTCCCAGATCCAGGTGCTCTATTTCCACAGAGGTTGCTAAGGTAACGGCTGTAAGCCTGGAGCTGCTGGGGGCCACTCTGCCACTAGGAGAGGAGAGAACGAAGCCTACGACAGGACCAACAACAGAGAGGGAAAGACACCTGAGTTCATCACGTGAGCCCCGGAGCACCTGAAGTTTCAGCTACAATTTCTTTTCTGCTTAAGCCAGTCTGAGTTGAGTTACTGTCACTTACAACCCTGCCCTCATCTGCCCAAATGAACCGGCAGCTCTGCACAGGAGACAGGACACGGGACTTCTAAGGTTATCCTTGTAAATGTGACCTCGGGTGTATCACCTCCCTTTGGGATTACTGAATTCACACCTGTGAAATGAGGCTACTAAGAGAACTTCCTCTCCACAAATGGCACAGGCTGTCCTGAGGGTCAGCTATAAGCTGGAAAAGACAGCAGTCCACACCACAGAGCACTATCTGCCAGGCACCACCCCAAATGACAGACTCTTACGAACTCACTGAATCCACAAACAACCCTGTGAGGCAGGCCCTATCGTTACCCCCAATGTACAGAGGAAATGGAGGCAAAGAGAAGTGCAATGACTTGCCTAAGGTCACATGGCCAGGCAGTGGCAGCATTCAACAAAGGTCACTGAACCACCCATGCATCAGAGAGCAGCTCTGGTCAATGGAGCCAATTCCAACCCAGGAGATTCAGGCTGTGTGTGACCTGGGACAAGTCACGACCTCTCTGAGCCCAGGTTTTTGCCTAAACCAGGGACAATCTCTGCTGTGAAGATTTGTTAAGAGTATTAAAAAGAGCGAAAAATAGAAAGGAACTAGCTGGCATACAATGAGTGCTCCAAGAATGGCAGCCACCAGCAGTTCCCATGTGCCAAATGCTTTAC